TCAACCCTATAAACAATAGAAATATTAATATTGAGATAGGAACTTGAAAAAGGATTTTGGTTCTGTACTACATCCATTTCAAGGCAATTTATCATACATGAAATGGTTTCCTACTGTGTGCATTATCCTTCAATGATTAATAAGACAGTGTTTGTACTCTAGAAGCTTACTAACACTTTGCAGTTGGGGATGGAAAGATCTGATATTTGTTTTCTGATAGAAATCCTATTGATACTGCTTGCTCCATTTTGAGAAAGTCTGTTATGTCTTGATTCATCATTCTAATCACCTTAGACACATCCTTAGATGATCCTATGTCTTTTGCTTTGGTATTACCTGTTTTCCAGGGATGTTCTTCAAATCTAGAATTTTATATCTTTGTTGTGTATGACTTGTCCAGTAACAGATATTATCTGAATAAAATGTCTTTAAAATTTTTAAGTATTTATTTTATTTTCATTTATTCAAAAGGCAAAGTGACAAAGAGGAATACACACACACACACACACACACACACACACACACATTTAGAGAGAGAGATGAGTTTATTTCCTAAATGCCCACAACAGCCAGAAATCAGTGAGGCCTATGTCAGGAGCTTGGAACTCCATCCAGGTCTCCCCCAGTGGCAGGAATCCAAGTCCTTGAGCCATTGCTTGCCACCACTCAGTATGTATATTAGCAGGACGCTGGAATGGGAGCTGGGAGAGGCCTTAGACATTGCCGCTCCAATATGGGCAACCCAAACATCAGCTTAACTGTTGCCCCACAATGTCTGCTTCAGAATATAAATTTCAAGCTGTCAAAAACATGAGTAAGTAAAATTTGGAATGGAAATGTCAAAGATGTGAAAAATGTATTAATAATTAAGGAATCACTTAGATGGCAAAATTGGTTCAAAATCTTTTTGAAGAGTGGCTATAGGCTTTTTAAAAAGGAATGCTAGAATAAAAAAGCTTGATTAGAGATTGAATGGCTTAATATCCCACAGGGCAATAAAATCATAACCTTTGGTGATCTTTTTACTAGAGAGAAATCTACAAGTTTATATTTAAACTTCTCAATGATTGGGTTCTAATCAAATAGTAAGCAGCAAAACCACACTCAGGAATGTACTGCTAGAGACTTAATAATAGGTAAATGATGCTCCATTAAGACACTGAAAGGATTTGCTGTATTTCTTTCTGATTCCCAAATGTTAGTTCATTTTTCTTTTCTTTTTTTAAAAAAAAGTTTGTTTATTTGAAAGGCGGAATTGTAGAGGCAGAGAGAGAGAGAGAGAGAGAGAGAGAAAGAGAGAGGGAGAGAAAGAGAGAGGGAGAGAGAGAGAGGGACAGAGAGAGAGAGAGGTTTTCCATCTGCTAGTTTACTCCCTAAATGACCGCAGTCACTGAGCTGGGCTGATCTGAAGTCAGGAGTCAGGAGCTTCTTCCAGGTCTCCCATGTGGGTGCAGGGGCCCAAGGTCTTAGGCCATCTTCTACTGCTTTTCCAGGCTATAGCAGAGCTGGATTGAAAAGTGGTGCAGCTAAGACTCAAACTTGAGTCTGTATGGGATGCTGGCACTGCAAGCGGCAGCCTTACCTGTTATGTCACAGTGCTGGCCCCTTGATCAATTTTTCTTACAATGTACCTATTAAGAATGTTTGCAGGCCGGCGCCAAGGCTCAATAGGCTAATTAATCCTCCACCTAGCGGCGCCGGCACACCGGGTTCTAGTCCCTGTCGGGGTGCCGGATTCTTTCCCAGTTGCCCCTCTTCCAGGCCAGCTCTCTGCTGTGGCCCGGGAAGGCAGTGGAGGATGGCCCAAGTGCTTGGGCCCTGCACCCCATGGGAGACCAGGAGAAGCACCGGGCTCCTGCCTTCGGATCAGCGCGGTGCGCCGGCCGCAGCGCGCCAGCCGTGGCGGCCATTGGAGGGTGAACCAATGGCAAAAAGGAAGACCTTTCTCTCTGTCTCTCTCTCTCTCACTATCCACTCTGCCTGTCAAAAAAAAAAAAAAAATAGAATGTTTGCTGACACAAGTAGATAAGCGCAGTTTATTAAAACTTCCACTCTTTTCCTGGCTCCTGGCTTCAGATCCACACAGTTCCAGCCATTGTGGCCATCTGGGGAGTGAACCAGCAGTTGGAAGACCTCACTCTGCCTCTGCCTCTCTGTAACTCTGTCTTTCAAACAAATAATAAATCTTTAAAAAAAAACTTTCACACTTGTGAATAGAGAGACTGTTCAATGTAACAGTAAATAACTGGCTGTGTGATTTCCAGCCAAACATAACATTTGTGCTCTTTACTCTGCTGTGAAATGAGGAACTAGATTAAGGTGATTGTTAAAATCTCCCCCAGTTTTAGTATGTTGTAATCCTTAAAGGATGGGATTATGAATAGCAAGATTTCTTGTTCATTGGCTAGTGTGTGGAATTATGCTACAGTGCCCCCTAAAGGTACTTTATGATTTGGGGGCAGGCCAACCTTCTAATCCTAGAATATCTAAGGAACTTCCTCTTAGAAGAAGTTTGGCAGCACATCCTGTTAGGACCTTTGATTTAAGTAGTCAATATTTGCTAGCTATTTTCACAGAAATTCTGCATCACAAACCATCATACAATAAATATTTATTTTCACTCTCAAGCATATAAGCCAAATGGGGAGTTCTGATAATCTTGATGAAACTCGGTGGGAACCTACATTATTCTTGGTGTTGTGTGAACATCAGGGCTGTTTCCTCTAATCTTTGCAGGTGGTTCTTTCTTCGGTGTTGAGTAGTTGCTGCACACTCATAAACACATCTGTGCTTAGCAAAGTGTTTAAATGTTGACTCTCTTCAGATTTTTTGGAGTTGTGCCTTTGTGCATCATTCTCCTTTCTGGTACTTTGTCCCATGGAGTCAAGCCACCTTGATGCGCCAAAGACCTTTAGCTCCATCTCTTCAGTGTGGCCAGTTTGTCATTATACTCTATCCCTTTCCTGCACGAAAGTATAACTCTTGCCAGCTTGTTTTTCTCTTCTAGAGATTATGGTCCTGTGTTGTCTAAAGCCTAGTATCTTCAAAAGTCATTGTTTTACATTTTTGCTAGTTCTTTGTCAATTCAGGCAGCAGAGATAATTTAGTTTCTGTTACTCAATTTTAACTGGAAGTCAAGGAAAAAATATGGCTTTCTAAGAATTGTAAACAACCTAACTTTTGGTGGAATAAGACAGTATGCAACTATCAAATTATATTTGAATGTGTGTATGTATATATTTCCAGTTTGTCCTATTTGTCCTCTAGCAGTCTGTTTCCTTCTGTTCTTAGGATATTTAGGATTTTGTCATAGTTTGGCATTGAATATATTTCACTTTTTGTTGTATTTTTTATTATATGTGTGAGCATATGTTATCTGACCAATAGTAGTATATGCTCTTTAAAGGTCGGAGCTATACTTTATTGCTTTCAAAATTTTCTTTAGTATGTGTATAACATTTAAAATGGATGATAATCAATTTTCATTCCTTTTTGTAAAAAGGATTCAAAATATGAGGATTAATTAGGTGTCATTTATAATGTGTTTTGTACTGGAAAAGTTCAGCATAAGTAATGATGTCTTTAGCATTTAGGTTGATATCAATCTGAGTTTCAGTTGTCTTCACCAAAATTAGGTGCCATATGTTAGGCTCCAATTTCTCATGAGTTCAAATGCAACCTGCTTAGAAGAATACTCCAAGCTTACATGAACAGTGTTATCAAAACCTCTCAGAGTCGTTTTGGCTTTGTATTTTCTGATGCTGTTTTTCTTTCTCTACTCAGTGACTTTGACATTGTAATTCAGAATACATGGGACATGGATTGAACACTTTAAAAATGCTTGATGAGCATGGTATTGAAGATTATATTTATTGAATAAACCCTTATCTCTAAAATAAGTTTTCAGTTATACCTAATCTACTTTTTGTATTATCTGTGAGTTGTCCTGAAAGGTGGTTGCCTCCTTCCAATCACCCATTGGAGAGTTGCTTCTCTTCCTCTTTTTTGACTACTTTTTTAAAAAAATTATTTATTTATTGGAAAGGCAGAATTACAGAGAGAGAGAGAGACAGACAGACAGATAGAGAGAGGTAACCTCTATCCACTGATTCACACCCCAAATGGCCACAACAACTAGGCCTACGCAGGGCCCAAGTTAGAAGGATGAACTCCATCCAGGTCTCCCACATGCATGCAGGGGCCCAAGCATTGTTTTCTCAGGCCCATTAGCTGAGATCCAAAGTGGAGCAGCCAGGACTCAAACCAGCATCTCAGGTGGTGACTTAACCCACTGCACCACAATGCCGGCCCAACCTGACTACTTCTTCATCTCTTTCCCTATCCTTTGTTTCATAGAATGGTATAAGAAGATCTTATATAACCTTTAAATTACCTCAGAATGAACGTGATTAGGGAGGACAAATGATTGCAAATCATATATTATGTTCCGAAGTCACACATCATTATTTGGGGGAATCATCTGAACAATCACTTTCCTCAATTAACATAGCATTCTCTAGTGGACTATGTAGTTATTTTTTTGTGCCTGTCAAAATTATAAGAGGAATTAATTTTAGTGGTTTATAGTCTTGTTCTACAAATAAAACAATTTAATGGAAAATAGTGAATTACATTTTATTTTAACCATTCTTCATTGGTTAATGATTTGAAAGCAGGTATCTGTGCAACTACTTGGTGATTATGTCTTATGTCTATACAATCTTTTATTTAAAAGTGTATATTCTTTGTATTTTCATTATTAATTGTGGTGAAACCTAAAAATGTATCTGAATTTTTTTTATTTTATAATAATGTGTATGATTGGCTATTAAAAATTCTTTTATGAAAATAGAATTTGAAAATTAAAGTCTTGGAATGTTTTTAAAGCACAGTTATGCATATATAGATAGTTGTTATTTTTATGTATTGCATTCTTTTTAGTTTTGTACAAATCTTAATTAATTTACATAACCAATATAGTTTTTAATATACCTTTTCAGAATACAAATGCCAATTTGAACATGAGGAAAAGAACAAATGCCTTGGTTCATGCTGAATCAGATGTTGGCAGCAGAACTGAGGTAGGAAACCATTCAAGCAAATCTCCCACAGTTGTTCAAGAATCTTCTGAAACCAAACTTCAGACTTACTTAGCTTCCAGTCCAAACCCATTCAGCCAAGCAAATGCAGCTGAAACTATATCTGCTGCGAGAGCGCTGACACCGGCTCCTTCAGCTCCTAGTCAGACTGCGTGTGTGTCTAGACAAGCTTCGCTTGGATCTGCTTCTACTCAGCATGTGTTTGGATCAAGACTGGGGAGGATTAAGACCACAGTTAATACCGCAGGGGCTTCTGGGAAGTTGCCAGTCTGCACTCCTCCCCCTGCTCCTCCACCCTCTGGATCTGGCGCAAGTAAAATAGACAAATATGCCCGTATTCTCTTTCCAGTCACCTTTGGAGCATTTAACATGGTCTATTGGGTTGTTTATTTATCTAAGGACACTATGGAGAAATCAGAGAGCCTAATGTAATTTTGTTGTATAGTAGTTTCATAAAAGATGATTTAAATGTAGACTGTCTTTTAAAATGTTTTTAAAGATAGCTATTCTTTACTAAAATAAAAATTATGTGTAATTTTTCAATTTAAAAAATATAACCCAGTTATTGGGAGAGTTAATTTTTCAGCAAAGGATAAGTGAACCATCTTACTTCTGAGAAAGACACTTTAAAAGTGATCATTCAGCATTCAAGTAAGATGGAGTGTAGACTATACAGAAAGTTGAGAAGATAAATATAAGGCTATTAGAGGTATGGGTTACACATTTTTGCATTGAAATTTGAAAAAAGACTATTGAAATGTTTAAATAAACCCTATAAATATCAACCAGCCATCCCAAATTTCTCAGTGGCACTGTCCTTAACCAGAAGTGTTTATCAGATATCATTTGTAGTGAGCTTTGGAGATTCTTTCAGTTCCTGCAAGAAAAGGACTTTCCTTGTTAAGAAAACATTGATAAAAGGAAAATGGACCAAAACAAATACTGATCAAGGGAGTGAAGTCTCCTGCATGAAAGACAAAGACATAGGCCAGGGAAAATGTGTTCCCTTTCATATGCTGGCCAAATAGTTCTTAATAGTTGACTTGAAATTTTGTGCTCTGAGCCAAAGTTCAACTAATTATAGGAATTATTTTTTTACAGTAGCTCATTCAGTTCTGTGCTCTGTTCATTCACTACATAGTTACTCAACATAGAGCCTGCTGTGCTAGGCACTGTGTCCTAGGAAAGCTCTTTCACCTTTATCTACAATATTACTTAAATAGAGTAGTCAATGCATGCTCAAGAACCATAAACCAGCAGAGGACATTGCATTCTTTAATGAAAGAAATTTATTTAGTCTGGCAACATATCCAAAATTATTTGTTTCTCGTATATCGATAGAGGGTAACTAGTATATTTTTTCACATAGCTACTTTGAGGTACGTAAATAATAGTACAACTTCAGATACTGGTTTTCAAAATATAATGAAAATGTGGTACAGATTGTTCTGTAATTGAAAAGTGCTATGTACCTGCAAATAAAAATCTGGGAACTATAAAACTGAATAGATTACCTGTCTCAGATTTTATCAGAGTTACCTAATAGAATCAGATCAGAATCATGGGATCATCAGAAATAGGAATTCAACTCCCTTTTCAGATGTTTTTCCAAACATAGATCTATATTTGATGGTGAAATGCTAATCTTCTTGGGAATTTGGTGTCTCTAGTTCTGTATTTCTGGGCAAGTTTTGTGTTTATGTTTTGGGAGTTTTGTTAAGGTTTCATAATTCACATGAGTATTTTAAAGCTAAAGGAGCTGCAAAGACAAGGAGTGAGGGAGAAATCATAGTCACAGGGTACAACCCACTGACTATTATATTATGCAATTTTTCAGGATTTTCATGTACTGACTTTCCTTTCATTAGGTAGGCTTAACAAAATAACTGACTATCTGGGAGCTGTCTTATGCAGCTCAGTTCAGGTCTGATTTGGTGTTGTTTTGTTGCTTTTGAATTTCTCTTCTATACCTCTTTCTACCAGTTTCAGAGGATATGAATGAGTGTTTCTGGGGAACATTTTGATAGAAATAGCCACCCTGAAAAGAGAATCTCTTATTATTTAAAAACAAATGATATTAATTAACTGACATTGATTTACTGCACTGATTTGCATTGATTGTATCAGGCCTGTAAAATGTGAAAATGCCAAATAGTAACTGTTGTTCATATCTGATAATACCTTCATGGCTGTCTTTCTAGTTATTTCATAGAATAAACATATTTTAAAGTTCTAAGACTCTATAGAAATCATCCAATCCAGACCCCTCATCTACAAATTTATTATGGTAAAATGAGACCCACTAAGATCTGTATATATGTATATAATTAATAAAGAGTACTTGTACAAAAAGGTTGACCATAAATTATTTCATGAATGTGAATAGATTTCTGGCCTTGAATCAGTGCTTGTAATTGTGATTGGAAGCTATGATCATTAACTATTTCTTTGAAATTACCTTACTTCTTTGGTGAAGAGCACTTAGTCTTTGCTTATCTGCTAATCTACTCTTTAGAACTATTTCATTGCCTTCATTTTTTTTCCCCAAAAAATTCTTTAAATTTCATATGTTTCAAATATATAAAAATAAATTATTTTAGATTTGTAGAGCAGAGATCAAAGAGAAATCATGTTTTTTTTTCTTAATCTTAGGTATGAAGAATTAAAAATAAACCAGGTAGCCAAACAAACAAAAAGAACAAAATTAACTAAGGATTCATAACTGTCAATTTGGAAAGCAAATTGACTCCAAATATTAGTATAAAAATTATAAAAACACAATAATAATTATAACACTGTGTTGATTGTTTCCTCTAACTCAATGTTAGGAAATTTAGTCAATGATTTTTTTAAAAAAAATCTGTACATCATTTTTGTCTTCCCAAAAACTCAGAACTACATTAACAAACACACTTTTGTAAAAATCCAGTTACTCTTCACAATTAGAAAATATCAAAAGATTAATTAGGGGGAGTCAAATCCCTCTCATCCGTAAAGAAGAATGCTGGCTGAAAATGGTACCTTGTATGTCTCTTTTAAAGCTGACCTTTGCAATTTTTTATTTTGTACTAGTACAGTATCTGTATTCGAACTTTCAATTCCAAGTTAGCCACTAATTACTACAGAATAATTTTCAATTTCCTTCAGGCAGGGCTAGGTATAAAAATATATTTGTGGCCAGCGCCATGGCTCACTAGGCTAATCCTCTGCCTTATGGCACCAGTACACCGGGTTCTAGTCCCGGTCGGGGTGCCGGATTCTGTCCTGGTTGCCCCTCTTCCAGGCCAGCTCTCTGCTGTGGCCAGGGAATGCAGTGGAGGATGGCCCAAGTACTTGGGCCCTGCACCTCATGGGAGACCAGGATAAGTACCTGGCTCCTGACATCGGATCAGCGCGGTGCGCCTGCCACAGCGCGCCGGCCGTGGCAGCCATTGGAGGGTGAACCAAAGGCAAAAGGAAGACCTTTCTCTCTGTCTCTCTCTCTCACTGTCCACTCTGCCTGTCAAAAAAAAATATATATATATATTTGTATGATTAATTCACATTTAAAAATGACTTACATTTGTGTGTATGCATAATACTTGGAATAATGTATTATATAATTTTGTTTCAGGTAAACAAATTTCATATATTTCATATAAACATGTTTAGGGACATAGTGATACTTCCCATTCTACCATCCCTCCTGCCCACACTCTCACCCTCTATTAAAATTTACAATGATCTACTTTCAGTTTACTTTATTCTTATAATATTACCCTTACACTAAAAGTTCAACAAATAATAATAAGAACAAACGCTGTTCCTCAACAGTTAGAGACAACTGCTATAAACAATCATTGAATAACAAAATGTCAATTTTACTCCTACATTACATTTTTGGTACTCTATTATTTACTGCAGATCAGGGAAAACATGGTATTTGTCTTTTCACGACTGGCTTATTTCAGTAAGTATAATGGTTTCCAGTTGCATCCATTTGTTGCCAAAGACAAAATTTCATTCTTTTTTATCCCTGAGTATTATTCGTATTCCATTCTCTCTCTCTCTCTCTGTCTCTTTCTCTCCCCCCATAATTTCTTTATCCAATCATCAGTTGATGGACATCTGGATTGATTCCATAGCTTAGCTATTGTGAATTGAGCTGCAGTAAATATAAGGGTACAGATAACTATTTCATATGCTGATTTCATTTCCTTTGGGTAAATTCCCAGGAGTGGAATGGCTGGACACATATAGTAAATGTAATTTCAGCATTCTAAAGTATCTCCATTCTATCTTTCACAATGGCTGTACTAGTTTACATTCCCACAAACAGTGGATTAGGGTACATTTTTCCCCACATCCTCACTTCATTTATTGTTTGTTGATATGTGTATGAGAGCTGTTCTAAGTGTGGTGAGGAGAAACCTCATCGTTTTTATTTGAATTTTGATGGCTAGTGTTCCTGAACATGTTTTCATGTTTCTGTTGCCATTTGAATTTCTTTTCTTGAAAAATGCCTGTTCAAGTCCTTTGCCCATTTCTTAATTGGATTGTTTGTTCATTTTTTTTGAGTTTCATGAGCTCTTCATGGATTCTGAATATAAATTCTTTATCAACTTTTACCTTGCAAATATTTTCTTCCATTTTGTTGGTTGTCTCATCACTTTGCTGAATGTTTCTTTTGCAGTACAGAAGCTTCCCAACTTGATGTAATCTCATTTATCTATTTTGGCTTTGATTGCCTGTGTTTTGGGGATCTTTTCCAAGAACTCTTTGCCTATTCCAATGTCTTACAGAGTTTCCCCAATGTTCACTAATAACTTGATGGTATTGGTTCATGGATTTAGGTCCTTGATCCATTTTGAATGGATTTTTGTGGAAGGTGGAAGGTATGTGTCTTGCTTCATACTTAAGCATGTGGATATCCAGTTTTCCCATCACTATCTGTTGAAGAGACTGTCCTTGCTCCAGGGATTGATTTTTAGCTCCTTTGTCAAAATAAGTTATTTGTAGATGTGTGGGTTGATTTCTGGAGTTTCTATTCTGTTCCATTTGCCTACACATCTGTTTTTGTGCCAGTACCAGGCTGTTTTGATTATAACTTCCCTGTAATGCATCTTAAAATCTAGTATTGTAATGCCTCCAGCTTTGTATTTGATGTATAAGATTGCTTTAGATATTCAGGGTCTCTTGTGTTTCCATGTGAATTTTTGCATCATTTTTTCTAGATCTGAGAAGAATGTCATTGGTATTTTGATTGGGATCACATTGAATCTGTCAATTACTTTCAGTAGTATGAACATTTTGAAGATATTAGTTCTTATAATCCACATGGAAGATTTTTCTGTTTTATTGTGTCTTCTTCTATTTCTTCCTTGAATCTTTCTTCTATTTCTTCCTTGAATCTTTTGTGTTTTCATCATAGAGGTCTTTGATCACCTTGGTAAAATTTATATCAAGATATTTATTTTTTTTGTAGCTACTGTGAATAGGATTGATCTTACAAGTTACTTCTCAGCCATAGTATTGTCTGTGTATACCAAGACTATTGATTTTTCTGTGTTGATTTTATATCTTGCCACTTTACCAAACTCTTTTTTAGAGTTCCAATAGTCTCTCAGTGGTGATTTTTTGTTTCCCAATATATAGAGTCATATCATCTGCAAATAGGGATAATTTGACTTTCTCCTTTCCAATTTGTATCTCTTTCATTTCTTGTTGTTTAATGGCTCTGGCTAAAATGTCTAGGACTGTACTGAATAGCAACAGTGAGAGCAAGCATCCTTATCTGGTTCTGGATCTTAGTCAGAATGCTTATAACTTTTCCCTATTTAATAAGTGGTCGGTTTATCATAAATTGCCTTGATTATGTTGAGGAATAGTTCTCTATATTCAATCTGCTTAAGTTTTTCATCTTGAAAATTTGTTGCATTTCATCAAATTCTGTCCCTGCATCTATTGAGATAACCTTATGATTTTTACTCATCAACTTGTTAATGTGATATATCACATTTATTGACTTGCAGATGTTGAACAATCCCTGCATAATAGGGATAGATCTCACTTGATCCAAGTGAATGATCTTTCTGATGTTTTGTTGGATTCAATTAGCTTGTAATTTGTTGAGGGTATTTTTCATTTATGTTCATCAGGGATGTTTATCATTCACTTTCTCTTGTTTCTTTTTCTGGTTTAGGAATTAAAGTGATGCTGACCTCATGGGAGGAGTTTGGGATGATTCCCTTCCTTTTAATTGTTCTTAATAGATTGAGAAGAATTGAAATTATTTCTTCTTTAAGTGTCTGATAGAATTCAGCAGTGAAGCCATTTGGGCCTGTGCTTTTCTTTGTTGGGTGGGTCTTTATTACTGATTCAATCTCTATCTTCATTATAGGTCTGTTTAGGTTTTCTGTGTCTTCATGACTCAAGTTTGGTAGATTGTATGTGTCCAGGAATCTATACATTTCTTCTAGAGTTTCCAATGTGTTGGCATATAGCTGTTTGTAGTAAATTCTGATGATTGTTTTTATTTCTGTGATATCTGTTGTTACATCTCTTTTTTCATGCCTGATTTTATTGATTTCAGTTTTCTCTCTCATTTTTTGCTTGACTGGGCCAATGGTATATCAATTTTGTTTAATTTTTTCAAAAAATAGTCATTCATTTCAGTTATCTTCTGTTTTTTTTTGTTTGTTTCATGTTTGATTTGTACTTCTATAATTTTAATCATTTATCTTCTACTAATTTTGGGTTTGGTTTTTTTTTTTTTTGGTCCTTAAGATGAATTGATAGCTCATTTATTTGATGCCTTTCCAATTTATTGATATAAATACCAATTGCTATATACTTTCTAATTAACACTTATGCTATATCTAATAAGTTTTAGTAAGTTTTATTGTCATCTTCATTAATTTTGAAGAGTTTTTTAATTTCCTTTTGATTTCTTCTATGACGCACTATTCAATCAGGAGTGTGTTGTTCAGTCTCCATGTGTTTGCATATTTTCTAGATATACTTGAGCTTCATTCTATCAGGGTCAGAGAAG